TTACGTCATTTAGCAGACGCTCTTATCCAGAGCGACTTACAAATAGGTGCATTCACCTTATAGCCAGTGGGATAACCACTTTACAATGTATTTTTTTTTTTGGGGGGGGGGGGGGGGGGGGGGGGGGGGGTGGTATAAGGATTACTTTATCCTATCCCAGGTATTCCATAAAGAGGTGGGGTTTCAAATGTCTCCGGAAGGTGGTGAGTGACTCCGCTGTCCTGGCGTCATGAGGGAGCTTGTTCCACCATTGGGGTGCCAGAGCAGCGAACAGTTTTGACTGGGCTGAGCGGGAACTATGCTTCCGCAGAGGTAGGGGAGCCAGCAGGCCAGAGGTGGATGAACACAATGCCCTCGTTTGGGTGTAGGGACTGATCAGAGCCTGAAGGTACGGAGGTGCCGTTCCCCTCACAGCTCCGTAGGCAAGCACCATGGTCTTCTAGCAGATGCGAGCTTCAACTGGAAGCCAGTGGAGTGTGCGGAGGAGCGGGGTGACGTGAGAGAACTTGGGAAGGTTGAACACCAGACGGGCTGCGGCATTCTGGATGAGTTGTAGGGGTTTAATGGCACAGGCAGGGAGCCCAGCCAACAGCGAGTTGCAGTAATCCAGATGGGAGATGACAAGTGCCTGGATTAGGACCTGTGCCGCTTCCTGTGTAAGGCAGGGTCGTACTCTCCGAATGTTGTAGAGCATGAACCTACAGGATCGGGTCACCGCCTTGATGTTAGCGGAGAACGACAGGGTGTTGTCCAGGGTTAGCGCCAAGGCTCTTCGCACTCTGGGAGGAGGACACAACGGAGTTGTCAACCGTGATGGCGAGATCATGGAACGGGCAGTCCTTCCCCGGGAGGAAGAGCAGCTCCGTCTTGCCAAGGTTCAGCTTGAGGTGGTGAGCCGTCATCCATACTGATATGTCTGCCAGACATGCAGAGATGCGATTCGCCACCTGGTTATCAGAAGGGGGAAAGGAGAAGATTAGTTGTGTGTCGTCAGCGTGGCAATGATAAGAGAGGCGATGTGAGGATATGACAGAGCCAAGTGACTTGGTGTATAGCGAGAATAGGAGAGGGCCTAGAACTGAGCCCTGGGGGACACCAGTGGTGAGAGCACGTGGTGCGGAGACAGCTTCTCGCCACGCCACTTGGTAGGAGCGACCGGTCAGGTAGGACGCAATCCAAGAGTGAGCCGCGCCGGAGATGCCCAGCTCGGAGAGGGTGGAGAGGAGGATCTGATGGTTCACAGTATCAAAGGCAGCAGACAGGTCTAGAAGGACAAGAGCAGAGGAGAGAGAGTTAGCTTTAGCAGTGCGGAGAGCCTCTGTGACACAGAGAAGAGCAGTCTCAGTTGAATGACCAGTCTTGAAACCTGACTGGTTTGGATCAAGAAGGTCATTCTGAGATAGATAGCAAGAGAGTTGGCTAAAGACGGCACGCTCAATAGTTTTGGAGAGAAAATAAAGAAGGGATACTGGTCTGTAGTTGTTGACATCAGAGGGATCGAGTGTTGGTTTTTTGAGAAGGGGTGCAACTCTCGCTCTCTTGAAGACAGAAGGGACATAGCCAGCGGTCAAGGATGAGTTGATCACGAGGTGAGGTAAGGGAGAAGGTCACCGGAGATGGTCTGGAGAAGAGAGGAGGGGATAGGGTCAAGCGGGCAGGTTTTGGGCGGCCTGCCGTCACAAGTTTTTATCTGGAGAGAGAGGGGAGAAAGAAGTCAAAGCATAGGGTAGGGCAGTGTGAGCAGGACCAGCAGTGTCATTTGACTTAACAAACGAGGATCGGATGGCGTCAACCTTCTTTTCAAATTGGTTGACGAAGTCATCCACAGAGAGGGAGGAGGGGGGGGGGGGGGGGGGGGGGGGGGGATTCAGCAGGGAGGAGAATGTGGCAAAGAGCTTCCTAGGGCTAGAGGCAGATGCTTGGAATTTAGAGTGGTAGAAAGTGGCCTTAGCAGCAGAAACAGATGAAGAAAATGTAGAGAGGAGGGAGTGAAAAGATGCCAGGTCCGCAGGGAGTTTAGTTTTCTTCCATTTCCGCTCAGCTGCCCGGAGCTCTGTTCTGTGAGCTCGCAATGAGTCATCAAGCCACGGAGCTGGAGGGGTGGACCGAGCCGGCCGGGAGGATAGGGGACATAGAGAGTCAAAGGATGCAGAAAGGGAGGAGAGGAGGGTTGAGGAGGCAGAATCAGGAGATTGGAGGGAGAAGGATTGAGCAGAGGGAAGAGATGATAGGATGGAAGAGGAGAGAGTAGCGGGAGAGAGAGAGCGAAGGTTGCGACGGCGCATTACCATCTGTGTAGGGGCAGAGTGAGTAGTGTTGGAGGAGAGGGAGAGAGAAAAGGATACAAAGTAGTGGTCGGAGACATGGAGGGGAGTTGCAGTGAGATTAGTAGAACAACAGCATCTAGTAAAGATGAGGTCAAGCGTATTGCCTGCCTTGTGAGTAGGGGGGGACGGTGAGAGGGTGAGGTCAAAAGAGGAGAGGAGTGGAAAGAAGGAGGCAGAGAGAAATGAGTCAAATGTAGACGTAGGGAGGTTGAAATCCCCCAGAACTGTGAGGGGTGAGCCATCCTCAGGAAAGGAACTTATCAAGGCGTCAAGCTCATTGATGAACTCTCCAAGGGAACCTGGAGGGCGATAGATGACAAGGATATTAAGCTTAAATGGGTTAGTGACTGTGACACCATGGAATTCAAATGAGGAGATAGACAGATGGGTCAGGGGAAAAATGGAGAATGTCCACTTGGGAGAGATGAGGATTCCTGTGCCACCACCCCGCTGACCAGATGCTCTCGGGGTATGCGAGAACAAATGGTCAGACGAGGAGAGAGCAGTAGGAGTAGCAGTGTTTTCAGTGGTAATCCATGTTTCCGTCAGCGCCAAGAAGTCGAGGGACTGGAGGGTAGCATAGGCTGAGATGAACTCTGCCTTGTTGGCAGCAGAACGGCAGTTCCAGAGGCTGCCTGAGACCTGGAAATCCACGTGGGTGGTGCGTGCGTGCAGGGACCACCAGGTTAGAGAGGCAGCAGCCACGCGGTGTGAGGCGTTTGTGTAGCCTGTGTAGCCTGTGTAGCCTGTGCGGAGAGGAGAGAACAGGGATAGGCAGAGGCATAGTTGACAGGCTGCAGCAGATGGCTACAATAATGCAGAGGAGATCGGAATGAAATGAACTAAACATCTGGGAAAGGAGAGAGCGGGGCCTCCCTCACCACAACTCCCAAATATAACTCTCCCAACTTCCACCTCAGAAACTATAATTGTTGTAAACTACAGCGGTTCAATGTTTTCTAGGAATAGACTAACTTAGTTTATTCAGCTAGCTAACCAGGTGCAGTATTATTCCGTGAAAATCGTCCGGGCACCTAGTCATAAGACGCCACAACCAGCTAGCATGCCGGACTCCAACAACACGGTTTAGCGCCAATACTCGGCCACAACAAACCACCAGTGTATCAACACGCAAGCAGATCGTTCGTGTCCGTGTCTAACGTTGTGGGTTAGTCCCGACAGCTTGAGCGAGTCCGTCGTCAACGTATTCAGCCAGTTAGTTAGAATAGTTAGCAAACTAGCTAGCCATTGCTTTCAGACAGAGAAGAACCCCTCCTTTCACGGCACGAACACACAGAGAGAGCCAAACTAACGCTAACTAGTCACCCATGTCCCGAATTCCTTGAAAATGCAAATCAATTTATAACATTTCTGACATGGGTTTTTCTGGATTTTTTTGTTGTTATTCTGTCTCTCACTGTTCAAATAAACCTACCATTAAAATTATAGACTGATCATGTCTTTGTCAGTGGGCAAACATACAAAATCAGCAGGGGATCAAATACTTTTTTCCCTCACTGTATAACGTCATTTTATATGTGGCCAATGGCTTGAACCTTCTTGGATGGGCACTTCTAATGTAACTCTATAGCAGCACCCAAGGGGCTTGAATTTCATATCTCTCCCTGTAGATTTTGCGGTGACGTAGTGTCCCCATGAGTGCCAGAACACTGAGCCAATCACGGCGCAATTAGAGAACATTAGCAACGCCTACGCTCTGTATCTGCCCCACCTTCCCTGAATGACGGGTTTCCACTGTATATGTTTGTAAACTTACCATTAAAAAGTATAATAATGATTGAGTGTCCATATACTGTAGCTGTACCATGATGTTTGCACTGCTACTGAGTAAACCTTCAGTTGTTCTCCACTATTCCACCCGCTAAAACCTCCCCCCCGATCCCAAGTTGGGTTGTCATCCAAGTGACTGGCAGACCACCCCTGTCCCCCTGGATCCAAGGGCCTTTGAGAGATTGGGACCCATCCTTTGAAAAGATCACACAGTGCCACCCACAGAATAGAAGCAGATCAACCGCCAAAAGCATTTCCAATGCCCTCACCTCGATTGTATTATATACAGTTATATACACACACACACATAAAAAAAAAATCTTGCATATCTTAATTTATTTCCACAATTAACAAATAATACACATAATAATGTAGGCAGTTCATGCTAAGGGGTGGTCTGCCATTCACGTTTTTACACTCGTCACATTTAATCTACTGTTATCTTCAAGAGAACACTCTTCATTGGCTGGTGGCCTGAGATGTGTGGGTCCAGTATCTGATCTGATCATCATCGGTCAACAGAGGATGGAGGGAGGGAATGGGGGAAGGAGAGGTGGATGGAGGGGACATGTCCTCCTCATAGCATACTGCTCTTCACCCTCGCAAAGATCTGTCGGACCTTGATAGCCAGGACACTGCCCTCCCTCACGATGATCATTGACACACAAGGAACCATTGGGTGGGACTACGATTGCAAAGTCCTGGTAAATTTAACAAAATTCCCGGTCTGAGGATTCTGTAAATTCCTACTTAAACCCTTCTAAAATCCATGAATTGTTCAACAGGGATTTCTGAAAAACCTGGGAATTTTGGGAAAGGTATTGGAACGTTGCAACCCTAGGTGGGACAACCCACAGCCTAAGAGGTTAGTTATGACTTATTCTAGAGGCAGTTGACCACTGTGGAGGTTACGACCTCGTTGGAATCCCCATCACACAAAACATCCTGGAGCTTATGGCCCAGACGACTGAAACGCACACAGATAGAGGAGACAGTGTCACTATCAGTATTAGGAAGACATTATCAGAGTAAGTTCAGGTTCAGAACAGCATGAAGAGTAAATAACATTATGGGCCAGTAACTAGTAGAGGACTAACACAGATACATTAGTATAACTATGTTTACACAGCAGGCTGACGGATATCAAACCAATCTGACAAGAAAGATCAAACCGGTCTATAACCAGCCTCCTGGATGTAGAAATACTTCAATACTGACATCCCTCTCAGCATCACATCAAATAGTGCTCTCCAGGTTAAATAGTCGTCATTTGATGAAACCCAGATGAAGGCAGCATAGCTGTCGAAACGTTGGTATTTAATAATTACATTGGAGCTGCAGTGTGCACCATTTATTTAATTTGATAAATGTGATCATTTACCACTATAAAGGTTTTATGACTAAGCACCAACAGGCTTGAGTACAGGTGAGTATTATGATAGACTGTTACCTGATGACCATGTTGTGGTGCGTGCTGTCGGGTTCTCCGCTGGGATTGGCTGAGGTGATGGCAAGCGGACCGGTGATGTCACACAGTTGTCTGGTGACAGTGTGGTCAGGGACTCGGATCATAATGCTGTCCTTGGTCCCCACGCGGTCGTAGGCCGGTCCCAGACTTCACCAACACAGGTGCGAACACAACGATTAAAAACAATATTTTAATTTAGGTGAACCCCCAAGAATCAACATGTGACTCTTGGGGGTTAACCTAGCCCAGTGCAGCAGAAATCAAATAATATGTAATCTAAATACCCCCAAAACTGTAATTTGCCACCATGGTACTGAGTGACCCAGTCTGAGTAGCCAATCTCCTTTGCTGACGATGCAACTGATTCCTCCAGGGTAGACATTCCTCATGAACTCCCAGAGTAGAGGACTGAAGGGGGGCTTGGCTGTCACCAGCTGTTCCACACTGGAAATACAAATACAGATCCACTTCTCTGCTGGGTGGTCCTGGTTAGGGGACAGAGAGACAGGTCAGGGGTTAGAGGTCAAGGGCCTTGGCTGCCACCAGCTGCTCTACACTGGAAATACAGATATTATTCTCTGCTGGGTGGTCCTAACAGGGGTCAAAGAGATGTTAGAGGTCAAAGTTTATCCAGTTTCATCCCAAAACTAAATTGTGTGAGCCAGCGTATCACATTCCAGTGTAACAATGGGATTGTTCCAGGACAATTGTTCCTATCCAGCTCGTAGGACCAATAGTCTACTTGCTGGAATAATATTGGCTTGATTAAGAGTAGGAGCACAGTAAGTTACTGATAATATGAGCACAGTATGTTACTGATAATGTTACCTTGATGTTGTAGATGCTCTCGGTGGCCTGAGGGTTCTTGCAGGAGGCAGCCAGGGCATGGACAGTGTCGGTGTGGATTCCACAGACCCCATCACCCCTCCCACCCCCGTCCCCCATCGTCTAGCAGTCTAATGATCTTTAGGAGTCCACTAGTCAGCCTGGAGCCTGCTATGGCACAGGGCGAGGCAGGGGACGACGCCTTCTGCTGCTTCACATCCTGGAGACAACACAGAGATAGAAGATATAGAACGGAACAGAAGGGAGTAGGACGGAATGGTATGGAACAGAATGGAATAGTATGAAAATGTATGCACTCACTAACTGTAAGTCGCTCTGGATAAGAACTTCTGCTAAATGACTAAAATGTAAAATGAAATGGAGTGTATTGTTCTCACCTTGAACAGTGGCGGGCCGAGGGGCAGTCTCTGAGAGAAGTTACAGTTGACCAGTGATACCAGGGCTATTTTAGGACAGTAACATTTAACTGACGTCTAGGTATCAAAACAATGTGTACATGATGCAATGTTTTGAACAGAAAGCGTACATGGTCACTGTGGTGGAGATACTGTGCAGTAAGTCTGAGACAAGTGCTGTAAGAGCCTTGTGAGTGGAATGAGGTGAGAAGCTGGTTCCTTCCTCTCCATCTGGTAGGGGAGCTGCTGGAGGGTGGCCAGGACCACCTCCATGACCGTGGTCAGAGATAAGAGGACCAGGTTCCCATACGCAGCTGGGGGGTGGAGACATGGAAATATGGAGAGATGGAGTGTAACGTATACACCGGGAGTCAGGAAACAAGTGCAGAAGATGATTTTAATAAAGAACTGAAGCAAATGAACAAACATGAGGAGCGTACATAACGTGAGAGAAAAACAATAACACCTAGTGAGGGCTAAATAAAGGGGGAGTAATCAAGGAGAAAATGATGAGCAGGTGGGTGTAATGATGTTTGCCAGGTGTGCGCAGTGTGGGTTGCAGGACCGGTGGATAGTAGACTGGCGACATCGAGCGCCAGAGGGAGGGAACAGGATTAGGCATGACAGTACCCCCCTTGCCGCACGGTCTGGACGGTGGAGATGGAAATCCCGCATGATGTTGGGGTCCAGGATGTCTGCCACCGGGACCCAAGAGTGCTCCTCAGGACCGTTCCCCTCCCAGTCCACTAGGTACTGGAGCCGACCCCCACGACGTCGACAGTCCAAGAGGGACCTAACAGCATAAGCAGGGGTCCCCTCGATGTCCAGGGGAGGCGGCGGGGTGTCGTGGGGGACGGAATCAGCCAGGGGACCTGGAACCCCCGGCCTGAGGAGGGAAATATGAAAGGAAGGTGAGATCCGGTAGTTGGTGGGGAGTTTGAGGCGATAGATTACCTCTTTGATCCTCCGGAGGACCTTGAAGGACCCCACAAACCAGGGGCTCAGCTTTCGGAGGGCAGGCGGGAGGTTCCTGGCGGAGAGCCAGACGTGATCACCAGGATGGAATACAGGAGCGTCACTGCGGTCGCGGTCCACCTGATCCTTCTGATGGAGGACGGCGTGCTGGAGCCTCACATGGGCAGTGTAACCATTCATCCAATGCAGTGGCCTCGGTCTAGCTCGGAGTCCACGGAGCCAGGGCCGGCTGATATCCCAGGGGGCACTGGAAGGGAGTCAGCCCAGTGGTTGAGTGTCGAAGGGAGTTCTGGGCGTATTCCGCCCAGGGAAGGAGCCAAGCCCACTCCTTAGGATCCTCCCCAGCTCCTGGTTGGTCCTCTCCACCTGCCCGTTGGACTGAGGCCGGTACACGGATGTGAGGCTGACTGTGACCCCCAGCTTCTCCATAAAGAACGTGAACTGGGGACCACGGTCGGAAACGATGTCCTCCGGAAGGCCATAGTACCGGAAAACCTGCTGGAATAGTGCCTCAGTGACCTGGAGAGCGGGTGGTAGAACAGAGAGAGGGATAAAACGGCAGGATTTAGAGAATCTGTCAATAACAACCATAATAGGGGTACAACCATCAGAGGGGAAGATCAGTTACAAAGTCAATGGACAAATGTGACCAGGGCCGCTGAGGCACGGGAATGGGAAGTAGTTTCCCTGCTGGAGCGTGCCGGGTAGATTTGAATTGAGTACATATGGAGCATGAGTTGACATCGTGGGTGACATCCTGCACCAAGGTGGGCCACCAGTATTTTTCGGAGAGGGATTGGATGGTGCGGGTGATACCTGGGTGTCCAGCGGCAAGGGATGTGTGTGCCCAGGTTAACAGCTGATCTCTCACCCCTGTGGGAATGTAGATGCGCTCCGGAGGGCAGGTGGCAGGAGCGGGTTCTGCTCCAGAGCCAGGCAGATGTCCATGTCTATGTCCCAACATACGGGGCCAACGATACGACATTGAGTAGAGACAACACTTGAGGTACAGCCAGACAGTGGAATAGGCACCGTAAAGGGTTTGGCGGAAAACAATGAAAATGGAATACTCACGCCTACCCTGGGAGATGGAAGGTCACAGGGCTGCCCCTCTGCTCTAATGGACCCTGGGTTAGGGCACACCGGACACCACTGAAGCAGGTGCTCCTCCTGGCCACAATAGGGACAGAGCCCCAGCTGTCTCCGGCGACACCACTCTGCCACGGAGAGGTGTGTGGCCCCTACCTCCATGGGTTCAGGCTCTGCCTCAGGACAGCCAAAGGAGGGAGGCGAGTGGCGACGTGGACACCGGCGCACCCACAGAAGGTTATCCAGACGGATGGCCATCGACATGAGAGCATCCAAGGAAATATTGTCATCCCGACATGCCAACTCCGTCTGGACCTCCTCGTGCAGTCCACTGCGGAATAGAGTGCGGAGCGCTGGCTCATTCCATCAACTGGAAGCTGCCACAGTCCGAAAGGTGAGGGCGTAATCCGCAGCAGTCTGGGCACCCTGCCGGAGCTGGAAAAGTTGCTCACCTCCCTCTCTGTCCTCTGGAGGATGGTCGAAGATCGCCCTGAACAGAGCCATGAACCTCTCATAAGACCCCAGCTCCTCCTCTACTCTCTCCCAGACGGCCGTAGTCCACTCCAACTCCCGCCCGGTCAGCAGGGAAATGACCATGGCAACCTTGGACCTCTCGGTGGTGGGGGCGCCCGTCTGATATGCGAAATAGAGGGAGCACTGGAGTAGGAAGCCACGGCATTTCGATGGAGTGTCATCATATTTCTCCGGAAGGGATAGTCGGGCATCGCTGACTTGGGCGGACGGCTGGGTAGGCTGGAGGACTGCCTCACTGTGACGATCCGTGGTAGGAGGCCCTCTGATAGGGGAATGGAGAACCTTGCTGGTGGTGTCGAGGCGGTGGAGAACGCAGAGGACCTCCATGGTCGTACCCAGTTTCACCTGCTGGTCGTGGTGTTGATGGAGTAGATGACCTTGTTTGTTAACCGTCTGGAAGAGGATTGAATCTTCTGCTGCTTCCATTTTGTTGAGGTTATTCTGTAACGTATACGCAGGGAGTCAGGAAACAGGTGCAGAAGGTGATTTTAATAACGAACTGAAGCAAATTAACAAACATGAGGAGCGTACATAGGTGAAAGAAAAACAATAACACCTAGTGACTGAAAACAACTGAGGGCTAAATAAAGGGGGAGTAATCAAGGAGAAAATGATGAGCAGGTGGGTGTAATGATGGTTGCCAGGTGTGCACAGTGTGGGTTGCCAGGACCGGTGGTTAGTAGACCAGCGACATCGAGCGCCGGAGGGAGAGAGCAGGAGTAGGCGTGATATGGAGAGTTGGAGCGGAGAAGACATGTAGAAAGTTAGGAATACAGGATGAAGACACTGCATGTCTCCCAAATGGCACCCTATATTATTTGTCCCAAAAGATTCCTATGCATAATAGAGATATATATGCGATCGTATAGAAAAGTGAGCAATGTTTGAAATGCCTATGTTTTAGTCAAATGTTATATCTGTTTGGGCTTCTTGCGGTCAATTTGCAGTCTACAAATGATTTGTAATCGGCCCTCGGCTGAATATGGTTGATGATCCCAGCACTATATTGTGAAGCACTACTTTGACCAGGGCCCATAGGGCTATATAAGGAATAGGGTGCCAAACACAACCTCCGCTTTTCACTCTCTTTATCTGTTGAAGCAGGTGAAGAGGAAGATCTTGGAAATTTCATGTAGCGACTGACCGATGAGCATGAGGAAAGCGTTCATGACCAGGAAAGCGATGGCGCAAGCTGTGAACCCTAAGGACCCTGCTGGAGAGATCTGTAGCATGAGACCTGAGAATAGAACAGAGAGTACTGGTTACTAAACAGGTCACAGAGCATGGAGACAACAACAGCAACACTGACTAACTTTGCTGAAAATCTCCTCTTGACATTATTGTACGATTTAGGCTAAACTTAAAGGCACATTCTTCCTGTTAGGATCTGTCAATGTGTGAAATGTGTGTGTATGTCAGTGCCAAAGATGAATTTCAGTTTTGTGTAATGGATAATAAAGTATTCTAATCTAATCCTTCAGTGTACGTCCCAAATGGTACCCTATTCCCTATATAGTGCACTACTTTTGACCAGAGCCCTATATAGGGAATAGGGTGTCATTTAGGAGACAGCACAAATCAACCGCATACCTGCGAAGGGGTACCATGTCCATGTAGCCCAGACAAGGATGGGATGAAGGATGGAATGACTGACCCAAACCTCTGTCCTCCCCTGACCTGCAGTCTGCAGACCAACCCATTTACCACCGCTCCCGACACCAGCATCAACGGAACGCTCAGCCGCAGGAACACTACCCTGTGACTGGACGAGGCCAAGTGGAGCGCCGAGAGAGCTGCCACCCCATTGGTCAGGTAGAATAGGGTATCAGTGATCTGAATGGTTGGTGGTGACGATGACAGCGCCCCCTGGAGTTTTCTCGGGGAACAGTAGCAGCACAGGACAGAGAGGAGGCGGTCAGAGGAGATGAGCTGAGGACCACAGGGATCAGAATCTTCTCAGAAATGGAGTTGATGAGGCGGCTGAACGTCCCGTAAAGCGAGGCAACGGCAAACAGGGAGCAGGACACCCCGAAGAACATGTAGTACCCCTGGAGGGGGATCTGGGGGACCGTGGACACGGACAGCTGCAGGAACAATGCATTGTGGGCAACTTCCAGGGCGTCGTTACTCAGACTCACCACTAGGAAGAGCAGTGCCGCCGTCACAAAGAACCAATCACCAACCATCGCCGACCACGAAGGGCATGATGATGTTTACCATGGCTGAGCAGAAGGCCAATAGTATGGAGAGGAGGATGTAGGGGAGCAATCCCGCGATGGCCGACTGGGGGATGGGCAGGGAGAACATCCAATCAGGGCTCTGCAAGGTGCCATTGATGAGTTCTGCTGACAGGGATAGGTTGGTTATGAGGGAAGTGGGCGTTGTCATGTTGCTCATCAGGTCATGTGACAGGGTCAGGTTGGTTGTGATTGGTTGGGAGACGCGTGTGGCGCCGTAGCTCCCCTAGAGTGCTGCGTAGCCGATGAAGGTGGTGCTGCTTAGGTGGTCGTATTTGCGGAAAGACAGGAGGCCGGCGATCAGCTGACACACTCCACCTATCAGGATCAGGCGAACACACAACACTGTTAGTGATGTTAAACAACCACCTAAAAACACACAACACTGATCCGAACAGGAACGAACTGATCCCATTGAATAACATGCCTAACACCCCCGGCCATAGAAACTGTCTGGAAAACCATCCGAGGTTGCCATGGCGTCTGTCGTTTTAGCTACAGCTGTAAAACAACAGAGACAGTAATAATATTATATGAACATGAGAGAGAGGACAGCAAAGAAAACATTTAAGAGAAAGACGGATGAATGATGAACATACAAGCTATTCAGTACCCTATTATTCCAGCATCGGTCTGGGGTGGTGTTTAGCTATAAGGCTCTAGGCTGGGGTCCCAAATGGCACCCTATTCCCTATGGGTCCTGGTCAAAAGTAGTTCACTATATAGGGAATAGGGTACCATTTGGGACGCAGCCCTAGACTGGTGTGGTTGGCTGGTCTGTCTGTCAACACTCTCCTACAACCCAGGGCTAAGAATTCCTCTTGCTCTAAATTTAAACCCAGTATTGGCTCATTCCTGTCCTGCCAGTTTCTTTATTCTGTGGAATGGAAATAAAGTATACATGTGTTTTGGACAATAAACAACCAGAGGATATATTTGCAGAGTTGATGATGTCACTGGCCCAGTCATGGAGGATAAATGTTATGTTGACACAGGTCCTACCCAGACAGAGAAAAACAGGCAGCATTTAAGCTTTTTCGAGCAGATTAGAGCTAGAGGAGAGAGAGAAAGGCGCGAAGCGAGCGCGCGCAGAGAGCGCGGCGAGAGACTTCTCTCGATCTCACTCTATCTCGCTCGCTCTCTATACTCTCTCTTCTCTCTATCTCTCTCTCTCTCTCTCTCTCTCTCTCTCTCTCTTCTCTCATCCCTCCCCTCCCAGTGACAAACACAGGAGCCACAGTACAGTAAGGGTGACTGGAGGGAGTCAGTGTACAGCAGGTGCCTAGAGAGATAGGAGGCTGCTGCCTAGCCAACCTTTCTTTACTTCCGTTCCCTCTTTCCCTGAGACAGTGACAGGAGACAGAGCACACTTATTTACACTGTATATGTCAGCCTGTCTATCATCATATGCAGTCTATCACATATATCTGTTAGACTTACATATATACAGTATGTGTCTGCAAGTCTATTATCAAGCAGTTGCAAGACTGGCTTTAGTACAGTAAGTAGTAGAGTAGACTGATTCTAGTAAGTAATATCAGACCTCTCTCTCTCCATCACTATATTACCATCACTACACTACTAGCCTCCGCTAACTTTTCAGACAACTTCTCCACAGTATTGTAAGCTGTTCTTTACATTATCTATGTTTTCATGACATGGTAAATATTTACATAAGATACCAGTTATTTCTAATCATGCCGTGAATGTTTGAATATAATATTCTGTTATCCTGAAACTAGCCTACACTGTGCATTAACACAGAAATGAGAGGAGATGGATACAGCATGCAGTTAAAAGGGAAAGAGTATTTACCTGTTTGCAGCTGATGATGATGATTATGATGATGATGATGCTCGGACGGAGAAAGAGAAGACGCGATGATGAGTCTGATCGGACAGAGAGAGAAGGCGTTGCTTGCTAGATGTTCTGGAGGAATGTTGAAGTTTATCAACATAAATATCCAATCCTGAAAGTGGGAGGAGCTCCAGGAGTTCTTCCGGCCTCACCCCCCTCACCCCTCGAAAGGTGACATCACACCTTACCTGGGTTGTTCCATGAAATTAGTGCCTGTTGTGTCCCTTTGATATTTTAAAGGTCCAATGCTGACGTTTTTATCTGAATATAAAATAATTTCTGGGTAACAATTACGTACCTTACCGTGATTGTTTTCAATTAAAATTGTGAAAAATAAACAAAAATTGCTTCTTAGCAAAGACCAATTTCTTTAGCAAAGATTTTGCTAGGACTGCATGGGAGAGGGGAGAGGAAAACTGAACATATGTTATTGGCAGAGACGTTTGGAACTCTTTCTTCCTGGTCTATTAGCCCTGTGTAGCTCAGTTGGTAGAGCATGGCGCTTGCAACGCCAGGGTTGTGGGTTCGATTCCCATGGGGGGCCAGTATGAAAAACGTATGCACTCACTTACTGTAAGTTGCTCTGGATTTGAGCAACTTAAATGACTAAACTGTAAATGTATTAACTAATTTACTGTCTGGTGATGTCAACAGGCAGGCCAAAACTCCATCCCACCAAAACAGGTTTCAAACAGTTCTTACACTAAATGGGCATTATCACAATTTCACAGTATTATTCCAACCTCAGTGTGAAAATATTGTATATTGTACATAGCCCCCCCCTTTCTAAACCCTAGCCCCTAGGGTTACAAAACAAAATCCTTAAAACGACCCGGAGGTCGCATCAGTCTCTTGTGCCTCCCCGTGACTCTCACCGGCGGACCCCCAGAACACTCATCTGCCCCAATGTCATTTCCAGCGCCCTCCGAAGAGGCAGCCCCCGCCCCAGGCTCAGGTTGTGCTAGGGTCTCCTCGCTAGACTGTTCCCGTGGGCTCACATCAGAGTCCTCACTTCCATTCCCTACCGTTTTCCTCCCTCTGTAGGGCGCCAATCGGTCCTGGTGGACCACCACCTTCCTGCTCCGTGGGGGAACCTCCACCCGGTACGTCACCTCCCCCACTCTCTCTATCACCAGACACGGCCCCACCCAGGCACTGTCCAGCTTTGGGCACCGCCCCTTCTTGCGCGTGGGGTTGTGAAGCCACACGCGTTCTCCCGCTCCAAAGTGTCTCCCCCTAGCGCGTGAGTCATAGTGGCGCTTTTGGCGCATCCCTGCGTTCTCGAGTTGCTCTCTTGTGAAGGTTTGAGCCGCTTCTAACCGGTTCTGCAGACGACAAACATAGTTCGGGCCAGGCAAAACCCCGTCGTCGTTATCAGGAGGGTGGCCAAACGTTAGTTTGGCTGGGAACACGACCTAACATTAGTAGCGCTGGGGAGCACGCAGTCGATTCTTGAACAGCCGACCTACATGCCATAAGAATAAATGGTAAGTGGGTGTCCCAAACTCTCTGGTGTTTTGAGGTGACGATAGCCAGCTGTTGCGCTAATTTCTGTTAAATCTTTCCACCAGCCCATCACTCTGGGGGTGAAGCGGAGTAGTGCGCGTCTTCTCCTCGCCTAACCGTCTACACAACTCTGAGAACACCTGTGACTCAAAGTATCTCCCCCGGTCACTGTGAATAGACTGTGGCACCCCAAACCGACTGATTATTCCCCCTATCAACGCATCAGCTACTGTCTCTGCCTCCTGGTCTGGGAGAGCGTAAGCCTCTGGCCACTTGGTGAAGTAGTCCATAGCAATTAGAATCCACCTGTTACCGCTGTCTGTGGTTGGAAACGGCCCCACTATGTCTAACCCCAGTCTCTTCACAAACCTACGATAGTAGGATGCCAGACCCAGGAAGCTCTTAACCTCTTTTTTTCCCCCTGGAACTGGCCACCCCCTCACAGCCTCCACTTTGTCTGGCATCGTGCTGATGCCCTCACCACCCAGCTGATGACCCAGGAACGCCACCTCCCTTTGCATGAAATTGCACTTTTCCGGGTGTAATTTTAGCCCCGCCCCCGAAATCCTCTCCAACACTCGCCTAAGTGCCCCCAGTGCCCCCTCAAACGATGTGCCGTGCACCAATATGTTGTCTAGGTACACGACACACTCGTCTCTCGGAACCCCCGCCAGCACTCTGTCCATGAGCCTCTTAAAGGTGGCAGGAGCATTACAGAGCCCGAAGCACAGCACCTTGAACTGCCATTGGCCCCTATCTGTGGAGAAGGCAGTTTTTTCACGTGCCCCAGGCGAGAGGGGCACCTGCCAGTAGCCACTGCGCAGATCAAGGGAGGAGAACCACGAGGACCCTCTGACGTGGTCTAGCGACTCATCGATCCTCGGTAGGGGGTAAGAGTCTTTAGTGGTGACAGAATTTAGGCCCCTGTAGTCAGCACAAAACCTAAGTTTACCCCCTTTCTTAGGCACCATGACGACCGGCGCGGACCATGGGCTATCTGATGGCTCAATGAAATCAGCCCGCAACATGTCAGCAATAGCTGTGTCTGCTGCTTCCCTCTTGGCAAGGGGAATACGACGGAGCCAAATTTTAATGGGTCGGGCGTCCCCAGTGTCGATGTCGTGCTGAACCAGGTGCGTTTGCCCTACCTCATCTTCCCCTCAAGCGAAGCTATCTTTAAAGTCAAACAGCAGCTGCTTTAACTGTCTCTGTTGTCTCTCATCCATACCTTGACAGTTTTTCAGCCACACAGCCTCAACGGCGTCGATAACTTCCTCCTTCCCCCCGTCGGGCTGATGGGGTGAAGGAGCCAGTGTGTTTTGGGCTACTGGGCTGCCTGTGCTTGCACCATTATGGGGAGTGAAGGTCGTTGCCACCGGAGACAGCTGCTGGGATGGCACAATGACCAAGGGAGCAGCCGGGACGACCAATGGAGTTTCGGCAAGACAGAGGGACAGCCCTGCCCCCTGCTGGCCCTCCCGAAGGCGACATTCCCACTGTGGGCCCCCCCGACAGCCTCAAAGTGCCCGAAGCTAAGTCCAACTGAGCCCCACAGTTTTTCAAAAAGTCCATTCCCAGTATACAGGGGTCCTGTACCGCTGCTACCCACACCGGACACCCCACAGTTCTCCCCCCCACAGTCACAGACAGCTGACACTTCCCTAACATGGGGGCTAGCTCCCCCGTGACAGTCCGTAGCTGGACAAGGGTCGGCTCCACTCGCACCCCAACAGGTAGTATGTCTGGTCTCACCAGGGTTACTGTAGAGCCCGTGTCGACCAGGGCCAAACATTCCACCCCCTCTACCTTGACGATGACATTGCAGAAGTCCCCCACGGTAGTACGTCCCACCACAACTACCGGACTAGGAAACAAGGCGGCAGCTACACCCTGGGGGAGCAGGTCCCCACCCTCTTGCCTGTGCTGCTGGGTGCCTCTTCTGCTTACTGTGGGTTCGGGGGCGGGGGGGTGGGCCCGCGCTGCCCCCTGCGCGAGAACCCACTGTCGTTTCCCTGGTGACGGAAGAATCTGCCACACTCCCGCTGAATGTGGCCAGGCTGGCCACAACCCCAGCAGACAATGGGAGTTGAGCTGACACTGCGATGTTGCCTGGAGCCCCTCTCAATGACAAGCGAAGCAGTCTTGACTAACCCGCCCAACTCGTCGACCCACTCTGGTTTGGTGACCTCCGGCACCCCGGCCGCCGCTGCTCTCATCTCTGATTGTCTGGCAACCTCCACTCCCACTCCCTCACCCCAGATCAGCTCCCTCTTCCTGGCTATCTCCACTGCAGCCCGCAGAGATGGTGGGTCCGCCATCTGAACATGCTTACCCAGTTCGGTGGAAGAGAGCCCTCTAATAAAACTGTCCCGTGCCAGCTCGTCTTGCACCCCAATCGGCATAGTTGCATAAGCCCGCCTGGTCAGGCTCAGAATACCACTTGCCAACGTCTTTAATGATTCCCCCTGAAGTCTCTTTTTGTTACTCAGTTCAATCCGCAGCATGTTGGGCTGCTCATCGCTGCCAAAACGGCCCCCCAATGCCTCCACTAGTGCACCGTAGTCGCCTCTCTCGTCCGGGGCTAGCGTTAGCAGGCATTCCAATGCCTCCTCTGCCAGGCTCAGGGCAAGATGTAACGCTTTCGTCTCGTCAGACCACCTCCCGGCTCTAGCCAACAACTCGAATTGAGTGAAAAAAACTTCCCATTTACCTTATCCATTGAACTTTGGAAGTTTAGCCGCTACAGTGGCTAATGGCAATAGGGCGCTGCCATCTCTGTTTACATAAGCAGGCCCAGCCATTTCCGCATGCGGTGACGTCGACATCCCCGTGACGTCTGTTCTGGTCGAGCTGTGTGAAGGAAAACCCACCAGTTCTGCCATCTTGTTGACTGACAATTTAACTTCCGCCATGTGGCTCTCCAGCTCTTCTACAGCAGTCGTCGCCTGACCCTCCCGACCGGATACCCCCGAGCCCACAACGGACACTTTGTCCGACTCTTCCTTAATCTTCCGCCTCGCCCCGAGCATCATGACCGTAGATGCGAGCCACGCTAAAGCCAACCACGGCCTATACTGAAACAGCTAACTTGCCTAATCTCGATCTATCCCGTAGTTCGAAAGCACTTCTGACACCAATGTAATGACCCAGCTGAGTCATAAAGGAAAAGAAAGACGGGCACCAGGTGTACAGGCAGAACACAGGTTTATTCCTAAATGGGCTATTGTTCAGGCCACAGCCCACGCCGCTAAATCCCGAACGTACACAAATATAACATGTCAAGTTAAGGGTCCCGAACAGAAGAGAGAGAGATGAGACAGTAACCCCTATTTATGCATTTCAAAACCCCGCGGGATTACCCATCATACCCCCCGAACCTTTCCATCTGTCCAGGCATATTTAACCCCTGCTAGCACCCATGAGAACAATAACACACCCACGAACACAGAACACAATACTGGGTCATTACAATATACACTGAGTGTACAAAACATTAGGTATACCTTAATACTGCCAGATGTGCATAATGGTGCCGGAGGAGATGGCTGCCATTTTACAGGCTCCTAACCAACTGTGCTATTTTGTTAGTTTTTTCGCGTTCTTTGTAAATTATATTTGTAATTATTGTGTACATAATGTTGCTGCTACCATCTCTTATGACCGAAAATAACTTCTGGACATCAGATCAGCGATTACTCACCTCGCACTGGACAAAGATGTTTTCTTTAACGAGTCTGACACGAAGGATATACTGCTTTCTCTGGAACGGGCCCAAATCCCCATCATTTGCGATATAATTCACTGTGTCACAATTCTAGTGGGTCAGAAGTTTACATACACTAAGTTGACTGTGCCTTTAAACAGCTAGGAAAATTCTAGAAAATTATGTCATGGCTTTAGAAGCTTCTGATAGGCTAACTTAAATTTTTTGAGTCAATTGGAGGTGTACCTGTGGATGTATTTCCAGGCCTACCTTCAAACTCAGTGCCCCTTTGCTTGACATCATGGGAAAATCAAAAGAAATCAGCAAAGACCTCAGAAAGAAAATGGTAGACCTCCACAAGTCTGGTTCATCCTTGGGAGCAATTTCCAAATGTCTGAAGGTACCACGTTCATCTGTACAAACAATAGTACGCAAGTATAAACACCATGGGACCACGCAGCCGTCATACCGCTCAGGAAGGAGACGCGTTCTGTCTCCTAGAGATGAACGTACTTTGGTGCAAAAAGTGCAAATCAATCCCAGAACAGCAGCAAAGGACGTTGTGAAGATGCTGGAGGAAACAGATCCAAAAGTATCTATATTCACAGTGTAACAAGTCCTATATCGACATAACCTGAAAGGCCGCTCAGCAAGGAAGAAGCCACTGCTCCAAAACCACCATAAAAAAGCCAGACTACGGTTTGCAACTGCACATGGGGACAAAGATCGTACTTTTTGGAGAAATGTCCTCTGGTCTGATGAAACAAAAATAGAACTGTTTGGCCAGAATGAACATCATTATGTTTGGAAGGAAAATTATGTGGATATATTGAAGCAACATCTCAAGACATCAGTCAGGAATTGAAAGCTTGGTCGCAAATGGGTCTTCCAAATGGACAATGACCCCAAGCATACTTCCAAAGTTGTGGCAAAATGGCTTAAGGACAACAAAGTCAAGGTACTGGAGTGGCCATCACAAAGCCCTGACCTCAATCTTATAGAAAATGTGTAGGCAGAACTGAAAAAGCATGTGCGAGCATGGAGGCCTACAAACCTGACTCAGTTACACCAGCTCTGTCAGGAGGAATGGGCCAGAATTCACCCAATTTATTGTGGGAAGCTTGTGGAAGGCTACCCGAAACGTTTGACCCAAGTTAAAAAATTTAAAGGCAATGCTACCAAATACTAATTGAGTGTATGTAAACTTCTGACCCACTGGGAATGTGACGAAAGAAATAAAAGCTGAAATAAATCATTCTCTCTACTATTATTTTGACATTTCACATTCTTAAAATAAAGTGGTGATCCGAACTGACTTAAGACAGGGAATTTTTACTAGGATTAAATGTCAGGAATTGTGAAAAACTAAGTTTAAATGTATTTGGCTAAGGTGTATGTAAACTTCCGACTTCAACTTTACATATCCCAACCAGAAGCCATGGATTAAAGGCAACATCTGCATCGAGCTAAAGGCTAGAGCTGCCGCTTTCAAGGAGTGGGACACTAATCCGGACACTCAGACGAACCATCAAACAGTCAAAGCATCAATACAGGATTAAGATTGAATCCTACTACACCGGCTCTGACGCTCGTTGGATGTGGCAGGGCTTGAAAACGATTACAGACTACAAAGGGAAGCACAGCCGCGAGCTGCCCAGTGACACAAGCCTACCAAACGAGCTAAATCAATTCTATGCTCGCTTCGAGGCAAGCAACACTGAAGCATGCATGAGAGCACCAGCTGTTCCGGATGACTATGTGATCACGCTCTCCGTAGCCGATGTGAGTAAAACTTTTAAGCAGGTCAACATTCACAAGGCCGCAGGGCCAGACGGATTACCAGGACGTGTACTCCGAGCATGTGCTGACCAACTGGCAAGTGTCTTCACTGACATTTTCAACATGTCCCTGACTGAGTCTGTAATACCAACATATTTCAAGCAGACCACCATAGTCCCTGTGCCCAAGGACACTAAGATAACCTGCTTAAAAGACTACCGACCCGTAGCACTCACGTCTGTAGCCATGAAGTGCTTTGAAAGGCTGGTCATGGCTCACATCAACACCATTATCCCAGAAACCCTAGACCCACTCCAATTTGCATACCGCCCCAACAGATCCACAGATGATGCAATCTCTATTGCACTCCATACTGCCCTTTCCCACCTGGCCTAGAGGAACACCTACGTGAGAATGCTATTCATTGACTACAGCTCAACGTTCAACACCATAGTGCCTTCAAAGCTCATCACTAAGCTAAGGATGCTGGGACTAAACACCTCCCTCTGCAACTGGATCCTGGACTTCCCGACGGGTCGCCCCAAGGTGGTAAGGGTAGGTAACAACACATCTGCCACGCTGATCCTCAACACGGGGGCCCCTCGGGGGTGCGTGCTCAGTCCCCTCCTGTACTCCCTGTTCACCCATGACTGCATGGCCAGGCACGACTCCAACACCTTCATTAAGTTTGCCGACGACACAACAGTGGTAGGCCTGATCACTGACAACGATGAGACAGCCTATAGGGAGGAGGTCAGAGACCTGGCCGTGTGGTGCCAGGATAACAACCTCTCCCTCAACGTGATCAAGACAAAGGAGATGATTGTGGACTACAGAAAAAAAAAGAGGACTGAACACGCCCCCATTCTCATCGACGGGGCTGTAGTGGAACAAGTTGAGAGCTTCAAGTTCCTTGGTGTCCACATCACCAACAAACTATCATGGTCCAAACACACCAAGACAGACGTGAAGAGGGCACGACAAAGCCTATATCCCGACAAAGCCTATATAAGATTTGGCACGGGTCCTCAGATCCTCAAAAAGTTCTACAGCTGCACCATCGAGAGCATCCTGACTAGTTGCATCACCGCCTGGTATGGCAACTGCTCGGCCTCCGACCACAAGGCACTACAGAGGGTAGTGCGTACGGCCCAGTACATCACTGGGGCCAAGCTTCCTGCCATCCAGGACCTCTATACCAGGCGTTGTCAGAGGAAGGCCCTCAAAATTGTCAAAGACTCCAGCCACCCTAGTCATAGACTGTTCTCTCTGCTACCGCACGGCAAGCGGTAGCGGAGCACCAAGTCTAGGTCCAAAAGGCTTCTCAACAGCTTCTACCCCCAAGCCATAAGACTCCTGAACAGCTAATCATGGCTACCCGGACAATTTGCACTGCCCCACACCCCTTCCCCCTTTTTTACTCTGCTTATTATTTATACATAGTCACTTTAACTCTACCCACATGTACATATTACCTCAATGACCTCGACTAGCCGGTGCCCCTGCACATTGACTCTGCACCGGTACCCCCCTGTATATAGCCTCCCTACTGTTATTTTATTTTACTGCTGCTCTTTAGTTATTTCTTTTGCTTAACACTTTATTTTAATTTGTTTTACTTTGCATTGTTGGTTAAGGGCTTGTTAGTAAGCATTTCACTGTAATGTCTACACCTGTTGTATTCGGCGCATGTGGCAAATACAATTTGATTTGATATGATTTGAAGACTGAAACAGGTTTCCCTCAAGAATTTCTCTGTATTTAGCGCCATCCATCATTCCTTCAATTCTGACCAGTTTCCCAGTCCCTGCCGATGAAAAACATCCCCACAGCATGATGCTGCCACCACCATGCTTCACTGTGGATGGTGTTCTCGGGGTAATGAGAGGTGTTGGGTTTGCGCCAGACATAGCGTTTTCCTTGATGGCCAAAAGGCTCAATTTTAGTCTCATCTGACCAGTGTACCTTCTTCCATATGTTTGGGGAGTCTCCCACATGCCTTTTGGCGAACACCAAACGTGTTTGTTTATTTTTTTCTTTAAGCAATGGCTTTTTTTCTGGCCACTCTTCCGTAAAGCCCAGCTCTGTGGAGTGTACGGCTTAAAGTGGTCCTATGGACAGATACTCCAATCTCCGCTGTGGAGCTCTGCAGCTCCTTCAGGGTTATCTTTGGTCTCTTTGTTGCTTCTCTGATTAATGCCCTCCTTGCCTGGTCTGTGAGTTTTGGTGGGCGGCCCTCTCTTGGCAGGTTTGTTGTGGTGCCATATTCATATTCATGGGATATTCAAAGTTTCTGATATTTTTTTACAACTCAACCCTGATCTGTACTTCTCCACAACTTTGTCCCTGACCTATTTGGAGAGCTCCTTGGTCTTCATGGTGCTGCTTAGTGGTGTTGCAGATTCTGGGGCCTTTCAGAACAGGTGTATATATACTGAGATCATGAGACAGATCATGTGATACTTAGATTGCACACAGGTGGACTTTATTTAACTAATTATGTGACTTCTGAAGGTAATTGGTTGCACCAGATCTTATTTAGGGGCTTCATAGCAAAGGGGGTGAATACATATGCACGCACCACTTTTACGTTATTTATTTGTTAGAATTATTTGAAACAAGTACTTTTTTTCATTTCACTTCACCAATTTGGACTATTTTGTGTATGTCCATTACATTAAATCAATTTAAATTACAGGTTGTAATGCAACAAAATAGGAAAAACGCCAAGGGGGATGAAAACTTTTGCAAGGCACTGTGTATGTACAAATTACCTTGACTAACCTGTACCCCCGCACATTGACTCGGTACCGGTACCCCCTGTATATAGCCTCGTTATTGTTATTTTGTGTTACTTTTTATAATTGTTTTACCTTAGTTTATTTGGTAAATATTTTTTTAACTCTTTCTTGAACTGCATTGTTGGTTAAGGGCTTGTAAGTAAGCATTTCACAGTAAGTTCTCCACCTGTTGTACTCAGCGCATGTGACAAATAATGTTCGATTTGATTTGAATATTGAGTTGCACCCCCTTTTTAGCCTTCAGAACAGCCTCAATTCGTCGGGGCATGGATTCTACAAGTTGTCGAAAGTGTTCCACAGGGATGCTGGTCCATGTTGACTCCAATGCTTCTCACATTTGTGTCAAGTTGGCTGGATTTCCTTTGGCTGGTGGATCATTCTTGATACACATGGGAAACTGTTGAGCGTGAAATACCCAGCAGTGCTGCAGTTCTTGACGCACTCAAACCGGTGCACCTACTACCAAACCCTGTTCAAAGTCACTTAAATGTTTTGTCTTGCCAATTCACCCTCTGAATGGCACACATACACAATTTATGTCTCAATTGTCTCAAGGCTTAAAAATCCTTCTTTAACCTGTCTCCTCCCCTTCATCTACACTGATTGAAGTGGATTTAACAGGTGACATCAATAAGGGATCATAGCTTTCACCTGGATTCACCTTGTCAGTCTATGTCATGGAAAGAGTTTTGTACACTCAGTGTATATAAAACACAGGAAAATCACAGTTTGGACTGCACTGATCCTTTAAGTAGAAAATGTGCACCAATATTGAATTTTTAAAAGCCATTTATATTTAATGACATGACCTTTAATATAGACCACATGGAGAATTCAATCAATCAGAATGAATAGACCTTCTAAAGTGCCAAAATTCCGAATTTTACATCTCCCTCTCTGCACCCTCTGTTACTTCCAGGAAGATTTTAATCCACATGACACCAACATTTCTCCAAGTTTTCACCATCATTGTAAAGCCCTAGTTATTTTGTTGCTTTGACAATGTAATTTCTGAAGATTAATGAAAAAAATAAGTAAACCTGGCCCTCATTTGAAGATCAACCCTGTTACCTGAACTGAACTCTCGTTTTAATATGGTGAAACTATTCCTTTTAAATACTTTTTTCAAAAGAAACATTGAACATCTAATAGTCAAATCATAGTGTAAAAGCAGGTGGGCTGGTTCTACTCTTTTGGCCATTTTGTGGTGAAAAACTGGGTGGGTGGAACATAACACGTCAACACTGTTACCCATAGATAGACAGGTTAGGCATGTTTAAACAATGTTTTTTGTTTTTTTACTTGCATTCAATTGTCCCTCCCTGTTGCACACAACAAGCTTCCATGCCCCTGTCACAAGTGGATTTACGGCTGATTTAAGGTGAAATCGTCAACCTGGTTACTTTATTTGACACGCAACAGGCACTTACTATAGTTATTTTTGTATTTACCCTCTTGAGATGGGAAAACTTGTTTTTTTATTAGGTTCAACATGTGCTCTTTATGACATAATTTTTTTCCCCCACCAAGTTACACATCTCAAAAGGCACCGAATTGGTGGAATGACCCACCTGCCCCTCTCTATCCTGTATCAGGGATCTTTTTCTCTCTGGAGTACAACATCACACCTTACCTAAGAAGAAAATGCCTTCTTCCTGATGATGATGGTGAGTGAAAATCCCAGCGTGTTGTTGGAGTAGAGGTTCTTGTTTGTGGAATTTCCTGCCCCCTGGAATTTATGTTCCCCTCCCTGCTCTTCTTTGTTCCTCTCTGTCCCCCTCCCTACCCCTCCCGGCCCGTCTCTGTTCGGTATCGGGGATCTTTGTCCCTCTGGAGTATAAAAGACAGACAGACCTCACCTGAGAGACAACCTGCCTCCTCTCCTCCATCTACACTTCATCCATCCATCCATCCATCCATCCATCTCACCAACAGATCTACGAGGGAGAGAGAGAAGAGAGAGAAGGAGGAGAAACAGAGAGATGAGCCCAACACAACAAAACAGAGGGCAGACAGTCAAACGAGGGAAGAGTTGAACCACAGTTTGGACAGACCTACTAATTCCAGAGCTTTTCTTTGTTTTTTTTTCAACAAAACAGAGGACAGACATTCAAACGAGGGAAGAGTTGAACCACAGTTTGGACAGACCTACTAATTCCAGGGCTTTTCTTTATTTTTTTTGCTATTTGCTATTTCACTTGCTATTTCACAGTATACAGATCACATAAGGCCTTCATCTTCATACACCATTCTCAGTCAGACAAATGGTTTGCTGTTGATGAATAGTACTTCATCTTTCACTTGCTATTTCACAGTGACAACAGACAGACAGACATGCTCTTCAAAGTACAGGTAAGCACCAGCCAATATAGTCACTCACTATGCATATAACCTATATGAGAGTTATATGAAATTATTTATATTTATAGTATGGGTCTCTCTCTATTCTATCCCCTGTCAGTGTGTAAGGTTAGAGCTCTAGAAAGGACGTTGTTGACTATTGGTGATGTGTGGAACTGTAATGTGACCAATATGGACCCCATGCATTAATTGATCCATCATATATTGATATATGTGGGTCTCTCTCTACTCCACTGACAGTCAGTGTGTGAGGTTAGAAGCCCAGAGAGAATAAAGTTGTATGTATGTATGTCTGTCTGTCTGTGATTTGTATGGTGAATACTTCAGCTGTTAGACTCCAGTTTTATCATCTTATACGATTAGGTGTTTTTTAAAATAATTTGATGTCATGGGGTGTTCTGTTTTAATGACTCACGTCACACTTGGCTACATAACGCTCACCAATTGAACGCTGTTTGGGTCAGTACTCGTCTCATTATCTGAACTGTCAAATAACACACAGGTGATTTTTTAAAACTGAAAACAACAAACTGTAAGGAATTCCGGTAGGCCTAGCCTAAAACTGAAAAGTACAAAATGATAAAGAAAGTTTTTATGTTCATTCTTTCCCTCTGTCTCTCAAGACTGTATTAATGCATACTGCTGTCTGTCTGTTTCTGTGTTTGTCAGAGATCCTTCAGACCCATGTCTGCTACACTGAGAGGACTCCACCAGTCTGCCCTGGACGGTAAGCTCAGCTCAGCACTCTTCTCTGTACTGTGTACTCTCTGCTGTTTCCATCCTGTGTTAGGATTTTCCTTTATCACAATATCAAAACACACACACACACAAACACAAACACGTTCGTTAAGTGTTTCTTTCTGGCTTGGCCATGAGGAAGCTGATGTTTGACAGTAGTAAATATTGGTCTGTTCTGTTCTATTCATACAGGCTGTGTTGGTCAGGTCTATACTGTACATAGACCTAGGCTACATAGACCTACATTGACATAGGCTGTCTGTGTTGGTTCTCTAACTCTCCGTCTCAGTTCAGACGTGAATAAACTGAGCTTAGAACATACTGGGGAGGTTTTAAACATTCCTGTCTTCTCCTGTCATCGTCTCCCTTCTTCTCCCCTCTCCTCGTCCTCTTCAACACCTCCTCTCCCCCTCTCCCTCCCTGCTCCTCTCCTTCTCTCCCCACTCTCTTCCTGCCCCTTTCCACCTCTCCCCCCTCACCCCCCCTCCGCCTCCTCCTCCTCTCCTTCCCCTCCTCCTCTCCGTCCTCCTCCCCACTCTTCCTTTCATCCCCTCCCCCATCCTCCTTCTCTCCTCCTTCCCATTCCCTCCTCTCCTCTTTCCCTCCAGTGATGCAGCATCCAGCCTCAGAGGACAGTGTGACGGCCAGTTTTGGACAGTTCATCCAGGGTGTCCAGCCCCACCACCTGACCCCCACCCTGCTCCACCGTAGCAAGAGGATGGTTCTGGACTCCATCGGAGTGGGACTACTGGGCAGCACCACACAGGTCTTCCAACTGGCCCTACAACACTGTCAGGTGAGATAATAGAATAGATGCTTTATTGTCCATTTGTAACAACGGAAACTTGTCTTCTGCCTTTCCCAACATCCCTAGATATACACACGCACACACGTTGAGAGGCACAGGGTCAGCCACACAGAGCGCCCCTGGATGCAGAGCAATTGTGAGGGGTTAAGTGCCTTGCTCAAGGGCCCAATGGCAGGGGATGGTATATTGGATCAGAGACCAGCAGCTTTGCAGCAGCTTATTATGTGTCGCCCGGGACTTGAACCAGCACCTTTCAGCTTCCTTTTCTCCTCGTCTCCTTCCCTTCACCCTTAACCCTACCCCTAACTGATGTGAAAGCGGATAGCTTGTAGTGATGTCAATCTACCATGTTTGCACATCAGTGCACATGAAGGAGAGGACACAAGGAGATGAGGCAAGGACGTTTCTCTGACTGACAGCTCAATGAGTCCAGTCCAGTGCTGTAACAGTGTGTAAGAGGCAGAGAAAGCCTGCGGACAACACACAGTAACTGGAGCTAGGTTTAAGGTTAGACAGAGACAATTGACAGACTACATAACTTTTAGAAGCAGACACTCTGTCATCCCTTAAAGAGTCAGGACAGGAATGGAGGAATGGAGTGTACTCTGTAAAGATTGGTCACTCCCCATGGTGATTGAGTTCCTGTGTAGCCGTGTGGAAACACAGTGTGATATGGACACAGTGTTGTTAGGAAGAGGAGAAAAACAGTTTGTTTTAACAGTTCTGTTGTCTGTCTGTTCTGTCTCTATAACGCCCCCTACCGTCTATCCTCTGTCCTGCAGCACATGTACGCTCCCGATGACATCAGTTCTGTTTACGGACGCAGAGGAACCAGACTCTCCCCAACCCTTGCTGCCTTTGTCAACGGAGTGGCCGTGAGTAGATACATCTACAGTAGATCTGCATAGACATGAGTGTAGATATGTAAGGTAGAATAGCATAGACACTGTAGCGAAGAGACAGTGGATATACAGTACCAGTCAAAAGTTGACACACCTACTCATTCCAGGGTTTATCTTTATTTTTACTATTTTCTACATTGTAGAATAATAGTGAAGAATTCAAAACTATGAAATAACACATATGGAATCATGTAGTAACCAAAAATTGTGTTAAACAAATCAAAATATATTTTATATTTGAGATTCTTCAATATAGCCACCCTTTGCCTTGATGACAGCTTTGCACTCTCTTGGCATTCTCTCAACCAGCTTCATGAGGTAGTCACCTGGAATGCATTCCAATTAACAGGTGTGCCTTCTTAAAAGTTAATTTGTGGAACTTATTTCTTTCTTAATGCGTTTGAGCCAATCAGTTGTGTTGTGACAAGGAAGGGGTGGTATACAGAAGATAGCCCTATTTAGTAGAATACCAAGTCCACATTATGGCAAGAGCAGCTCAAATAAGCAAAGGGAAACGACAGTCCATCATTACTTTAAGACATGAAGGTCAGTCAATACAGAACATTTCAAGAACTTTGAAAGTTTCTTCAAGTGCAGTCGCAAAAACCATCAAACGTGTTACGGATACAGGTATCCTGTATGTGTATTTGTTTTTCCTCTCCTTCAGTCGTAATCACAGGTGTCCCTTGTTTTCCTGATTGGTGGTCGTTGGGGTGTCCCACCTGTCCGACATCCGTTCGTCTGCTGATTGCTGAGGTGGACCAATCAGTGGACACTCCTCCGTTTTGCACCACCTGTTTCTGGTTTTTCATTACCATGTCACATCCCCTGGTTTTAAAAAGCCAGTCAGTTGTGTTTTCTGACAGAGAAAACTCTTTGTGAGTATGGATCATGTGGTGTCTTGTTTTTGTGTACTCATGCAAGTGCAGTCTAGTCCATATTGGACCTATGTTGTTTGTTTGTGCCTGGGAAAAAGGGGGTTTAGCAAGTCGCCCTTGGGCATACACACTAGTTAGACCTGTCTAACACACTAGTTAGACCTGAGCGGACCACCCACTGTATTTTTGTATGGTTAGCAGTAGCTTAGTGGTTCTTGAGGCAGGCAAGATCAGTTTAGTTTTTTTTTACTTTATTGTTTCCTTCCTTGGGTCCAGCTCAGCCCCTTTTCCCCAAACTGTTTATTGTGTGTTTATAATAAACATTTTGTCTTTGACGGTAGCATATGGTTGTTGGTGTATTTTGTTCTCACTGTTCCTTGTCAATATTCTAATTCGCATGAGTTATGTTACAGGTCTCTTTTCCATCCACCCTAGACTTTTAAAGCCACGGGGTTCGTAACATAACGTGGGGGTTCGTCCGGGATATCTCAATGATACCCATGCCACTCATGCAAATTGGTTTAGTGTCTGGTTCAGTGTTGAGCTTGGCAGCTGTGACTAGCTGGTTTCGTGTGCAGTATTTGTCGGCTCGTGTTGCTAGCTTAAGATGGCTACTTTTGATTTGGATGCCTTTTTGGAAAAACCTACGTGGGAAGTTTTTGATAATTGCCGTAGAGTGGATCTACAGGCTTTGGCTGACCACTTTTCTATACCCATACCGAGGGTTTTAGTGAAAGCGGAAGTTAGGAAAGTGGTGTTAGAGGTATTATTGAACGATCGAGTGCTTGAGTTACCGCCGCCTGAGCCTGCTGCTCCTGTAGGGGATGTGGCTGCTGCTCCTGTAAGCCCGTCGGTGTCTGAGGACAAGGGCGAGGCTAAGGCTCCAGACATAGCCCCGTTTTGACCCACTCCCCACTGTCAGACAGTGATGCCAGGATGGATGTCCACTCGACACTGCTCCAAATGGAGGCGGAAGAGAGGGCACAAATCAGGCGAGAAAAGTTGGAGATGCGTAAGCTAAAGGCAGAACTGGAGACACGTAGACTTGATCAAGAACTGGAGACGCGTAAGATGGAACTGGAGGCAGAGACAGCGAGGTTAGTCACTGCTCATGCTATGCCTGCTAGGAAGCCGTCCTCACCAGCTGTGTCGTCTGCTACTTTTGATATTAGTAGACAGATCACCTTAGTACCTGTGTTTAGGGAGTCAGAGGTTGACTCCTATTTTAGTGTTTTTGAGCGTATAGCAGTAGCATTGAAATGGCCCGAAGAGGTATGTTGCCTATTACTTCAGTGTAAATTAAAGCCCAAGAGGTTCTGTCAGCGCTACCTCTTGAAGACAGCTTGAATTATGACGTGGTCAAAGCTACTGTTCTTCGTGCCTATGAGCTGGTTCCTGAGGCATATCGACAGAGATTTAGGTCTCATAAAAAGTATTCGACTCAGACTTCTTTGGAGTTTGCTAGAGACAAAGGAAATCTGTTTGACAAATGGCACACTGCTAGTAAGGTAACTGATTTTAACTCTACGGGAGTTAATCTTGTTAGAAGAGTTAAAAAATGGCTTACTCGGCCGCATTGTAGTTTACCTAAACGAACAGAAAGTATCCTCACTGTCGGAAGCGTCTGTATTGGCAGACGAGTTTGTGTTGACGCACAAGAGCGTGTTTTCGGCTCATAAGGAGAGCAGGGCTGCGGAGTTGCTAACTCTTAGCCCTAGTCGACCAGCAGTACATCCAGCATGCCCGAAAGATGTGTGTCACTGTTTCTATTGTCATAAGGTGGGACATATACAGTTGAAGTCGGAAGTTAACATACACCTTAGCCAAATACATTTAAAATCAGTTTTTCACAATTCCTGACATTTAATCCTAGTAAAAATTCCCTGTTTTAGGTCAGTTAGGATCACCACTTTATTTTAGGAATGTGACATTTCAGAATAATAGTATAGAGAGTGATTTATTTCAGCTTTTATTTATTTCATCACATTTCCAGTGGGTCAGAAGTTTACATACACTCAATTAGTATTTGGTAGCATTGTCTTTAAATTGTTTAACCTGGGTCAAACGTTTAGGGTAGCCTTCCACAAGCTTCCCACAATAAGTTGGGTGAATTTTTGCCCATTCCTCCTGACAGAGCTGGTGTAACTGAGTCAGGTTTGTAGGCCTCCTTGCTCGCACATGCTTTTTCAGTCCTGCCCACAAATGTTCTATAAGATTGAGGTCAGGGCTTTGTGATGGCCACTCCAATACCTGTTGTCCTTAAGCCATTTTGCCACAACTTTGGAAGTATGCTTGGGGTCATTGTCCATTTGGAAGACCCATTTGCGACCAAGCTTTAACTTCCTGACTGATGTCTTGAGATGTTGCTTCAATATATCCACATAATTTTCCTTCCTCATGATGCCATCTATTTTGTGAAGTGTACCAGTGCCTCCTGCAGCAAAATACCCCCACAGCATAATGCTGCCACGCCCGTGCTTCACGTTTGGGATGGTGTTCTTTAGCTTGCAAGATACCCCCATTTTCCTCCAAACATAACGATGGTCATTATGACCAAACAGTTCTATTTTTGTTTCATCAGACCAGAGGACATTTCTCCAAATTTTGGAGCAGTGGCTTCTTCCTTGCTGAGCGGCCTTTCAGGTTATGTCGATATAGGACTCATCTTACTGTGGATATAGATCATTTTGTACCTGTTTCCTCCAGCATCTTCACAACGTCCTATGCTGTTGTTCTGGGATTGATTTGCACTTTTCGCACCAAAGTACGTTCATCTCTAGGAGACAGAACGCGTCTCCTTCCTGAGCCGTATGACAGCTGTGTGGTCCCGTGGTGTTTATACTTGCGTACTATTGTTTGTATAGATGAACGTGGTACCTTCAGGCGTTTGGAAATTGCTCCCAAGGATGAACCAGACTTGTGGAGGTCTACAATTTTCTTTCTGAGGTCTTGGCTGATTTCTTTTGATTTTCCCATGATGTCAAGCAAAGGGGCACTGAGTTTGAAGGTAGGCCTTGAAATACATCCACAGGTACACCTCCAATTGACTCAAATGATGTAAATTAGCCTATCAGAAGCTTCTAAAGCCATGATATCATTTTCTGGAATTTTCCAAGCTGTTTAAAGGCACAGTCAACTTAGTGTATGTAAACTTCTGACTCACTGGAATTGTGATACAGTGAATTATAAGTGAAATTATCTGTCTGTAAACAATTGTTGGAAAAATTACTTGTGTCATGCACAAAGTAGATGTCCTAACCAACTTGCCAAAACTATAGTTTGTTAACAATACATTTGTTGTTGAAAAACAAGTGTTAATGACTCCAACCTAAGTGTATGTAAACCTCCGACTTCAACTGTATATAATAATTGCTTTCTGCACGCCAGGCCGCCAACGGGTGTTGGGCTGATTCGTACGGTTGTAAGGCCAGAATCAAAACAGATGCCTCGTGGTAAATTTGGTTTGAAAGTCCCAGATCGCAGCTATGAACCGTTCATTTTTGAGGGGTTTGTTTCCATATCAGATGACGAAGCGTCTCAGCATCCGGTTAGAATCCTTAGAGATACTGGTGCAGCCAGTCGTTCATACTATCTGATGTGTTGCCCTTGTCCGATAATACATATTGTGGTTCCAGTGTGTTAATACAGGGAATTGAAATGGGATTCGTCCCAGTGCCATTGCACTTTGTGAACGTACACTTTGAGTTAGTCAGTGGATTGTTCAGAGTTGGAGTACGTCCTATGTTGCCAGTAAAAGGTGTGACATTTATAATGGGCAACGGTATTGCCGGAGGAAAGGTGATACCCGTATTGGAGGTATTAGATGAAAGTGACCAGTCTCTCTCAGAGGAGCTGGCACAGGGTTATCCACATTTGTTCCCCACTTGTGCTGTCACACGTGCTCAAGAACGACAAGTGGGTGACGTGATAGATTTGTCAAACACGACTCTATTCAGAGAGTGTGACCCAGAGGATGGCTTGTGTGCTACCTCTGGTAAGGTGGTGTGGTCTGACCAACAGCCCAAGGAAGGGAAGAAGTATGTGGAACTTGTTGCGGATGCAATACAGTTACTAGTCACTCGTGAGCAGCTGATTGCTAACCAAAAGGTTGACATTAGCCTGGCTAAATGTTTTTCTAGTGTTGTCTCAGAGGAGGAGCTAAAGAAGAAAAACATGGCATACTTCATTGATGGTAATCTCCTCATGCGTAAATGGGCATCCCATGTTGGCGCTGGCGGAGATTGGAATGCTGTTTACCAAATAGTGATTCCTACAGCCTTTCGACAAAATGTTTTATCCCTCGCTCATGATCACCAGTGGTCCGGACATCTGGGAGTCACCAAGACTTATGATCGGGTTTTTCGACATTTCTTTTGGCCCGGTTTAAAACAAGATGTGGCTCAGTTCTGTTGGACATGCCACACCTGTCAAGTAACTGGGAAACCGAACCAGGTTATTCCTCCCGCTCCTCTTTGTCCCATACCTGTCATAGGTGAACCATTTGAACATGTGATGGTTGATTGTGTTGGACCATTACCGAAGACAAAAGCTGGTAACCAGTTTCTGTTGACAGTTATGTGTGTGGCCACCAGATTCCCAGAAGCCATTCCTCTGCGAAGGATTACTGCTCCGGTGGTGAGTAAAGCCTTGATTAAATATTTCTCAACTTTTGGGTTACCTAAGGTGGTACAAACTGATCAAGGTACGAATTTCCTTTCTAAGCTTTTCAAACAAGTGTTAAAATCCTTGTCAGTTACACACCGTGTGTGAAGCGCATATCACCCAGAGTCTCAGGGTGCGCTTGAACGTTGGCATCAGACACTGAAGTCTATGCTCCGTAAATATTGTTAGGAATCTGAGAAGGATTGGGATGAGGGAGTTCCTCTAGTTTTGTTTGCTGTCTGTGAGACGGTACAGGAAGCCCAGAGTGAAGGAAAAGCAGCCAACAAGTGCTCAGCATATGTGGGAACTCCTTCAAGAGTGTTGGAAAAGCATTCCAGGTGAAGCTGGTTGAGAGAATGCCAAGAGTGTGCAAAGCTGTCATCAAGGAAAAGGGTGGCTACTTTGAAGAATCTCAAATATAAAATATATTTTGATTTGTTTAACACTTTATTGGTTACTACATGATTCCATGTGTTATTTCATAGTTTTGATGTCTTCACTCTGCAATGTAGAAAATAGTAAAAATAAAGAAAAACCCTTGAATAAGTAGGTGTGTCCAAACTTTTGACTGGTACTGTACATAAAATAGAACATTAGCCACGAGGGAAACACTGACCTAAAGCACATCATCACCACCACCACCACAGTCATTCAGCCACACAAGCTGGAAAATGGAAACCCTCAACATTCACCTTCTGTTTGTAGGTTAGAGTTAAACAGACAGGTCTAAATATAAATATGAAGCGATGATGGGCAGATCCAGGCATGTGCACAGATAGAGGCCTAGGGGTGCTGGTCAATGCCTGCTATAGTTATTACACCTGTTCATCGCTGGCTAGGGTTAGCACATTATTGTTAACAGAGAGGGAGAGGCAGAGAACATAGATATATGTGGACACTATAGGGCTCCTATTACCACAGAGAGACAGACAGACATACAGACAGACAGGTCATAAAGACAGAGTAGCCAGCATCCCATAAAAACTTCCAGCAACAGATTTAATTGTCAGTATTTGTCACTATTTACTTTCTCATGTGGTAAACCAACTGTGTTCAACCACCTTCCTTGGTTTTCTAACGAAAATAACATTTTGATCATTAAAGCAATGAGTCTGATAATAACTGTGGTCTTTCCATTGTCTGTCTCCATTGCATGTCTGTTGTCCAAGATAACTGTATGTTGTCTGTCTGTTGTCTCTGGGCTAACTGTGTCTTTTGTGTGCCTGTTGTGTGTCGGTTGTCCTGTCCAGGCCCACTCCATGGACTTTGACGACACCTGGCACCCTGCTACTCACCCGTCGGGGGTGGTCCTTCCTGCCCTACTGGCGGTCAGCGACATGCTGCCCAACAACAGAAAGCCTAGTGGGCGGGACTTCCTGTTGGCCTTCAACGTTGGGATAGAGGTCCAGGGACGCCTGATGAGGTTCTCCAACGAGGCTCACAACATCCCCAAGAGGTGAGGACTGGACCATTACTCTGGTGCTCTCTATTGGGCTGTAACATAAAGTATTCTCAATGCCTACAGGTCTGTTTGTGTGGTATTCTACCAGCCTGTCTGTGGGATAGGAGAGGCTCAGTGGCTAGTCTAATTTGTTTAGTTTAACAGGTGGATTCCCTCAGACATATAGGTGTTTATACACCATTACAGACACTCTACTTTGTTTACACTGTGAGAATACGCTGAAATGACTTATAATTTGTTAATTCCCTCAAGACCGCTGAAACAGACTCTCAGCCTCTCCTCCCTACGCAGGCCTATACTGTATAAACCTGATGACTGTCCTGTAGTATTCTGTTCTGCACTAGACAGACACCTGTCCTCACTTTAGACAAATGCAGGTTAGCGTTTTTGATCAGGAATCTTGTTCTGGAGGCAGCTTTGCAGAGTGATCACTAACTGGCATAAAATCTGATTTGAAACCTAACCCTAACCACACTGCTATCTCTATTGCCTAACTCTAACCTTAAATTAAGACCAAAAGCTAATATTTGTTTTCATGAATATAGCCAATTTTGACTTTGCAGCTGGCCTATCTAAGGGGAAAGTGCTCAGTTCTGCCTCCAGGACAAGACTCATGACAATAAACGTCCACCTGCTAGACAGACACCTGTACTCACTGGCCCAGCACTCATTTAATAATGACTGAGCTGTCAGACACTTTACTCAAGATTACTCAATTGGGCTGCTACTAAAAAATACATGTTTATTTTAGTTTTAGTTTAGTCATCAACCTGTGCTTCCAAAACATCTGGGCCCAGATTCACAAAACACTTCTTATGCAAAAACTTAAGAAGCTTCTTAAGGAAAAAAATAAGAAGTTCAAAAGATAGTTCGCAAGTGCAATTCCTCAACAATATCTTAAGATTGTATGATTTTCTTACCAACTTCTCAAATATCTTCTTACAAATAGTCTTAAGATGTTTGTTGCTAGGCAACCGTTTTAGCTAGCTATCTAGCTAGCAATGGCAATCATGTTAGCATATTTCTTATTAAGATTACAGTTCTAAAACATGTTCTTGGGTTTAAAATAATCAATATTGAAACTATCAGATGAAGTTTGTGAGTGAATTAAACATGTTCCATTGCTTTCATTAGCTTTTTCTCTCACTGCCCTGAGTTTAAAACAAAGGTTTAGCTATCTTGGAATTAAGAACATTTCCAATAACTTTATTTTCAAGAATCTAATTTCTTCTTAACTTTTTGCTTAACCTCTACGGGATCGTTGTCCTGTATACGGGACGGTTGAGCTAACGTGCGCTAACGTGATTAGCATGACTGTTGTAAGTAACAGCAAACTTTCCAGGACATAGACATGTCTTATATGGGCAGAAAGCTTAAATTATTGTTAATCTAACTACACTGTCCAATTTACAGTAGCTATTACAGTGAAAAAAGACCATGCTATTGTTTGAGGAGAGTGCACAACAACAATAAACTTATCACGGCAACTGGTTTGATACATTCACCTCTGAAGGTAAATAATGTACTTACATTCAGTAATCTTGCTCTTATTTGTCATCCTAAGGGTCCCAGAGATAAAATGTAGCATAGTTTTGTTTGATAAAATGTAACAATTGACCAATTCAGCACATTTGGGCAGACTTGATACAGAATAGTCCAGTATTGCAATGCTTCACTGGATCAATCTGACATTTTGCACACACTGCTGCCATCTAGTGGACAAAATCTAAATTGCGCCTAAACTGCAATATCATATTGTGGCCTTTCTCTTGCATTTCAAAGATGGAACAAAAAAATAAATAGAAAACGCATGTTTTTTTTGTTTCTATTATCGTTTATCAGATCTAATGTGTTATATTCTCCTACATTCATTTCACATTTCCACAAACTTCATAGTGTTTCCTTTTAAATGGTATCAAGAATATGCATATCTTTGCTTCAGGTCCTGAGCTACAGGCAGTTTGATTTGGGTATGTCATTTTAGGCGAAAATTGGAAAAAAGGGTCCGATCCTTAAGAGGTTAAGGAGAAACATAAGAAATAGCGCAATAACATTTCCAATAACCTTTTTGGGGAATATCAACTTTGCTTAACTTTCTTCTTAAGTCTATAATTAAGGAAAAAATGGTAATTAAGAAGAAATGTATTCTTAAGAAGGTTTTGTGAATCTGGGCCCCCCTCCCTCCAGGTTCCACCCTCCCACCGTCGTGGGTACTCTGGGTAGTGCTGCAGCCTGCGCCCGCCTCCTCTCTCTGGAACGCTCTCAGTGTAGCCACGCCCTGGCCATCGCTGCCAGCCTATCAGGAGCCCCCATGGTGAACGCGGCCACCCAGTCTAAACCCCTCCACATTGGCAACGCTGCGCGGCTGGGGCTGGAGGCAGCTCTACTGGCCTCAATAGGACTGGAGGCCTCGCCCAGAGTCCTTGATGACAACGCCGGGGTAGCGGGGTTCAGCGCCTTCTATGAGGACTACGCCCCACGACCTTTAACCTCTCCAGAGGAGGAGGGGGTGCGGTTCCTGCTGGAGGACCAGGACATGGGGTTCAAGAGGTTCCCGGCCCACCTGGGGATGCACTGGGTGGCCGACGCTGCTGCCTCTGTGCATAAGCTGCTGCAGGGGAGGGGGCAGGGGTCACAGGTCGTAGGTCAGGTCCAGGACATCCTGCTGAGGGTTCCCTGCTCCAAGTACATTAACCGTCCGTTCCCGGAGTCAGAGCACCAGGCCAGACACTCCTTCCAGTTCAATGCCTGCTCTGCCCTGCTGGACGGGGAGGTCACCGTGTTCTCATTCTCCCAGGAGGCACTAAAGCGCCCCGACCTGCTGGCCTTGCTGAGGCGTGTCCGCGTCGAGCATCCCCATGACAACCCGGCTAACTTCGACCGCATGTACGGCGAGGTGCAGGTGACGCTGGTGGGTGGGGATGTGCTGAAGGGACGCTGTGATACTTTCTATGGCCACTGGCGCAACCCGCTGACCAATGAGAGCCTGAGGAAGAAGTTCCGTAGCAACGCGGGGGCGGTCCTACCCAGGGAGAAGGTGGAGGGGCTGATTGAGGCTGTAGAGGGACTGGACAGACTGGAAGACTGCTCTCTTCTACTGGCACAGCTGCAGTGACACACACACACACACACACACACACACACACACACACACACACACACACACACACACCTCATCACATAACTATTTTCTGACCAGCTGATCTTTCTGCATTTCATATCAGGTGTCTATAGACATATACAGACCATGAGCTTGCATCTTCAGGTGTGCATGACTTACGTAGGTCTTGGATGTTCTACCTGTTTACCAGTGGTGTAAAGTACTTCAGTAAAAATAGTTTAAAGTACTACTTAAGTAGCTTTTGGAGGTATCTTTACTATTTATATTTTTGACTACTTTTACTTCACTACATTCCTAAAGAAAATAATCTACTTTTTACTCCATACATTTTCCCTGACACCCAAAAGTACTCATTATATTTTGAATGCTTAACAGGACAGGAAAATGGTCCAATTCACACACTTATCAAGAGAACATCCCTGCTCATCCCTACTGCCTCTGATTTGGCGGACTCACTAAACACAAATGCTTCATTTGTAAATTATGTCTGAGTGTTGGAGTGTGCCCCTGACTATCCGGAAAAAAAAATAAAAAGAAGAAAATCGTGCCGTCTGGTTTGCCTGATATAAGGAATTTGAAATTATTTATACTTTTGATACTTAAGTATATTTTTGAAATTACATTTACTTTTGATACTTAAGTATATTTAAAATCAAATACTTTTAGACTTTTACTCAAGTAGTATTTTACTGTGTGACTTTACTTTTACTTGAGTCATTTTCTGTTAAGGTATCTTTACTTTTACTCAAATATGACAATTGGGTACTTTTTCCACCACTGCTGTTTACTATGGTGTCATGAAGGGACTTTGCTTGTTGCATTTTAACACTTTCTACTGTGAGACAAGTTAAAATGAAGAATCTACTTCCAATGTGAGGGAGGTGGGAGAGACTATAGGTGATTAACTTTAACTGTATATTAAATGATCTAAACAATCAAAGCTAAATTATTATAAAGTACTGTACCTTTTACTGCATCAATTTATGTATAACATTTTATGTTTACTTGACAATGTATCTCTACCGTTCTGTGTGGATTGTGAGAATGGAAACAATGAATTTGAAGGATGGCTGTGCTATGGATGTATATGTACATAATATGAATATACCACGAATGAAGTTTGAAAAATACTGTTACTGGTTTATTTTCTTATTCTGTATTTTGAGAGGAGTTACACTGTCTTATATTAAATCAAACATGTATATTATTCTTGTTCTATACTTTCATTTTAATTAAAAAGGTTCAAAATCATGCTTCTCACCTGTTTTGTCCTCTTTATTTAACTCACTGTATCAGAAGCACTACTTTCACTCTGCTAACAAATGCATTGTCTTTAAGATATCGTAAAAAACATGAACCATCAACTCACTGTCACATATTTTCCTGGTTGTAGTTCCTAAGGAAAAACATTCATTTTATTTGCTCATCCTCGATTTCAGATTCTAATGGTCAGTATACTATTGTGGTTGGTACTCTGTATTCTAGTAAAAGCATGAGCTGGCACACACCCAAAAATTTTAATGGGGGTGCTGACTAACAGAGAGTAAACTGTAGGCTATAAAAATAGGTGAAGGCTACGGATACGGTTTTCTATGAGTCTGCCACTTAACTTTACATTGTGTATCTGTGTACGTTCGGAATTTAGCGGCGTGGGCTGTGGCCTGAACAATAGCACAGTTTAGGAATAAACCTGTGTTCTGCCCTGCATACCTGGTGTCCGTCTCTTTTTCCTTTATGACCAGCCCGGTTCATTACATTAGCGTCAGAAGTGCTTTCGAACTATGGGACGGATCGAGATTAGGCGAGTTAGCTGTTTCAGTATAAGCTTTAGCGTGGCTCGCATCTACGGTCATGATGTTCGGGGCGAGGCAGAAAATGAAGGAGGAGTCGGACAAAGTGTCCGTTGCGGGCTCGGGGGTACCCGGTCGGGAGGGTCAGTCGGTGACCGTTGTAGAGGAGCTGGAGAGCCACATGGCAGAAGTTAAATTGTCAGTCAGCAAGATGGCAGAACTGGCCGGGTTTTCCTTCGTACCGCTCGACCAGAGCAGACGTCACGGCAACGGGGATGTCAACGTCACCGGGTGCAGAAATGGCTGGGCCTGCTTATGTAAACAAAGATGGCAGCGCCCTATTGCCATTAGCCACGGTAGCGGCTAAACTACCGAAGTTTAATGGACAAGGTAAATGGGATGTTTTAGGTGGTCTGACGAGACAAAGGCGTTACAGCTTGCCCTGAGCCTGGCAGAGGAGGCGTCGGAATGCCTGCTAACGCTAGCCCCAGATGAGAGGGGCGACTACGGTGCGCTAGTGGAAGCATTGGGGGGCCGTTTCGGCAGCGACGCGCAGCCCAACATGCTGCGCATTGAACTGAGTGACAGAAAGAGACTTCTGGGGGAATCGTTAAAGGCGTTGGCGAGTGGTATTCTGAGCCTGACCCGGCGGACTTATGCAACTATGCCGATTGGGGTGCAAGACAAGCTGGCACGGGACAGTTTTATTAGAGTGCTCTCTTCCACCGAACTGGGTAAGCATGTTCAGATGGCGGACCCACAGTCTCTGTGGGCAGCAGTGGAGATAGCCAGGAAGAGGGAGCTGATCTGGGGTGAGGGAGTGAGAGTGGAGGTTGCCAGTCAACCGGAGGTGAGAGCAGCGGCGGCCGGGGGTGCCAAACCAGAGTGGGTCGACGAGTTGGGCGGATTAGTCAAGACTGCTTTGCTTGTCATTGAGAGGGGCTCCAGGCAACGTTGCAGCGTCAGCTCAACTCCCATTGTCTGCTGGGGTTGTGGCCAGCCTGGCCTCATTCAGCGGGAGTGTGGCAGATTCTTCCGTCACCAGGGAAATGACAGCGGGTTCTCGCGCAGGGGGCAGCGCGGGCCCACCCCCCCGCCCCCGAACCCACAGTAAGCAGAAGAGGTACCCAGCAGTGCAGGCAAGAGGGTGGGGACCTGCTCCCCCAGGGTGTAGCTGTCTCCCGAGTGGCGCAGTGGTCTAAGGCACTGCATCGCAGTGCTAGCTGTGCCACTAGAGATCCTGGTTCGAATCCAGGCTCTGTCGTAGCCGGCCGCGACCGGGAGACCCATGGGGCGGCGCACAATTGGCCCAGCGTCGTCCAGGGTAGGGGAGGGAATGGCCGGCAGGGGATGTAGCTCAGTTGGTAGAGCATGGCGTTTGCAACGCCAGGGTTGTGGGTTCGATAAAATAATGTATGTGCTAACTGTAAGTCGCTCTGGATAAGAGCGTCTGCTAAATGACTAAAATGTAAATGTAAATGTAGCTGCCCCCGTGTTTCCTAGTCCCGTAGTTGTGGTGGGACGTACCACCATTGGGGACTTCTGCAATGTCATTGTCAAGGTAGAGGGGGTGGAATGTTCGGCCCTGGTCAACATGGGCTCTACAGTAATAAAAGTGATAAAAGTGAAGAGAGTATCAAAATGTGTTAAGTGGTTAACTGAAAAAATAAAATAATAATAAACTGTTCATGTTGGAAATTACTACTAGCTTTGTTTTGTTAGTGAATTGACAGCTCCTGTCCTATTTTATAAAAGGGAAGATGTTATGGGTGGAAGATGGCACGATGATTCCATCTGTTGGTAAATGTTAATTACTGCAACTCCAGTGTTTTACCGGTGTACTTGAGATACCCGGATGTATTGCAATATACTGAACAAGACTGGTTACTCGCATCAATGCCTCTGTCTCGTCATTTAACATTGAAACATCCACCTGTGGTAAAATCAATTGATTGGACATGATTCAGAAAGGCACATACCTGTCTACAGTGGCTTGCGAAAGTATTCACCCCCCTTGGCATTTTTCCTATTTTGTTGCCTTACAACCTGGAATTAAAATGGATTTTTTGGGGGGTTTGTATCATTTGATTTACACAACATGCCTACCACTTTGAAGATGCAAAATATTTTTTTATGTGAAACAAACAACAAATAAGACAAAAAAAACTGAACTTGAGCGTGCATAACTATTCACCCCCCCCAAAGTCAATACTTTGTAGAGCCACCTTTTGCAGCAATTACAGCTGCAAGTCTCTTGGGGTATATCTCTATAAGCTTGGCACATCTAGCCACTAGGATTTTTGTCCATTCTTCAAGGCAAAACTGCTCTAGCTCCTTCAAGTTGGATGGGTTCCGCTGGTACACAGCAATCTTTAAGTCATACCACAGATTCTCAATTGGATTGAGGTTTGGGCTTTGACTAGGCCGTTCCAAGACATTTAAATGTTTCCCCTTAAACAACTCAAGTGTTGCTTTAGCAGTATGCTTAGGGTCATTATCCTGCTGGAAGGTGAACCTCCGTTCCAGTCTCAAATCTCTGGAAGACTGAAACAGGTTTCCCTCAAGAATTTCTCTGTATTTAGCGCCATCCATCATTCCTTCAATTCTGACCAGTTTCCCAGTCTCTGCTGATGAAAAACTTCCCCACAGCATGATGCTGCCACCACCATGCTTCACTGTGGGGATGGTGTTCTCGGGGTGATGAGAGGTGTTGGATTTGCGCCAGACATAGCGTTTTCCTTGATGGCCAAACAGCTCCATTTTAGTCTCATCTGACCAGAGTACCTTCTTCCATATGTTTGGGGAGTCTCCCACATGCCTTTTGTCGAACACCAAACGTGTTTGCTTATTTTTTTCTGGCCACTCTTCCATAAAGCCCAGCTCTGTGGAGTGTACGGTTAAAGTGGTCCTATGGACAGATACTCCAATCTCCGCTGTGGAGCTTTGCAGCTCCTTCAGGGTTATCTTTGGTCTCTTTGTTGCTTCTCTGGTTAATGCCCTCCTTGCCTGGTTCGTGGGTTTTGGTGGGCGGCGCTCTATTTGCAGGTTTTTTGTGGTGTCATATTCTTTCAATTTTTTAATAATGGATTTAATGGTGCTCCGTGGGATGTTCAAAGTTTCTGATATTTTTTTATAACCCAACCCTGATCTGTACTTCTCCACAACTTTGTCCCTGACCTGTTTGGAGAGCTCCTTGGT